GCTGATAGTTCAAAGGCCACCACGGCTATGGGAGGGTCCGATACAGAGTCTGTGGGAGAAGGTGCAGGAATGTGCTTGGTGTCTCTGCAGTATATCTGCAAATAACTATTGAATAAGTGATTCAGGCCATAAAGTCTTTCATGACTGTAGTTAAAACTTCTAGGAGGGCTATCCCTAGGCAGTGAAGTGCATGAGCAAAATGATGTCACATGCATACGTAAAGAAGTGCATGCCAGATGACACCCAGGCTAGTGACGCCACTGGCAGCAGTTCAACAAAGGTGACAGACTTTCCATGTCATTCACCAAACTAGAAAAATATATTACAATGCAAACTTGTTAAAGTCAGAGGGGAAAAATAACTCAAACGGTTTCCCTTTATAGAGGTATCTGTGTATCTACAGTTCCATCTTGTTATCCTTAAACACAATTTATAGGCATGTGACTAAATTAAGGCATACCAACCTTTTATATTCAAAAATAATTCTATTGCTGCCTATCAGTTGTATGATAAGTGTAGATGTTTAGTTAAGAGGCTGTGTAAACTCCACCTGCACTTGTCAGCTTTGCTGAGCCCAGTGCATAGGAGCTCAATGGAACACAATCGAAAATAGTATGAATGAGCCCAAATGGATGTTTTTGTAGCTTACCAGCTCCTATCTGATTAATGAAAAAGTAGTGTGTTATTTGCATGATATATCTCAAACAATAACTTTGTTTTCTGAGCTATCAGTTTAGTGCACAGGAAGTTACAAGGACCCAAACTCTGACAATATAAAGTTATCTTTCTGTACTTTTAGAAAATATATTTAGGATGAACAAAGAAATCTAATGCAGAAACCACATCTAAGGACTGGTAACCTGGAACGTATTACATTGTTTTTCAGTTTAAATCTCTGCAACTTTTTTTGGTAGGCAAGACTGCTCACCAATGCATAGTTTAACCTTGCACGGGTAATCTAACGTGTAGTTTAATGCAGTAAAACAAGATACTGTGGTCTCAACTTTAATTATTATATTGGTAACAATGGGTGTGGAAATTGCACACATCACATTTCCTATAATTGTTTTCCATTTCCTGCAGAAGATGAATATTTTCACTGGTGAAGAATCGAAAAAGAAATAGTACCATGGCAACAAGACTTGGCAATCAGAGCAAAATCCTTTGCTTGACTACATCATCATCATTTACAATCCTCATTGGACATTTCATTTCTTTAGGTGTTGATTGTCATTCAGACCATGCCAGTTTTTCAAATGTATTCAGACATCACAACTGTGGTATGCTAGCTTGCTGCATGGACGGGCAATATTAACCATCTATATCATCTTAGGGTATTAGACTACAGGTAACTTCTACTTGATAGCATTTTCTAGGCAGTTTCTGCAGTTAGATCTGATCTTTCAGAAAGAGAGACAGACTGCTATCCAAAACGACAGTGATGGCTGCTGAGAGCTAGTGTGGTCTCTGAAGTAGACAGGCTGTCCAGGGCTTCTGCATTGTATGAAAATTAAATTGTCTTAAATGAACCAGACTAAAAAAATGTCAAAACGAAGTAAATGGCCATGCTAATCGTGTTTCTGTGAAAACTATGACAACACAATCTAAATGTCACAGTAAATTTCATCAAACTGAATAAATTAAACCTAAAGGCAGTAACAGCTATTACTCTTTCTAACCGCACTTAAATACTAATAGTGTTGATGTATAACCTGTTCAGACTCAGCAGCCTACTATTTTTCTACCTGCTGTGTTTCTGCAGGATTGCAATGCTTATATCAAGTTGGTGTTCAAGCAGGGACCATTATGCTAGGAGTACCAAATAGCACAAGCATGATGGAGAATGAATGCTGTCCTTTACAGGTGATTATAATGACTTTTCGGTTTTACAGACAGTGGAGTTGGAATCATTGCACCTATGCTTAATTCCTTGAGTTAAGATGGCCATTCACTTATAGATTCAATCATTCAACCTGCAGACTAAATGAAAAATCCAACAGATTTCTCCATCCATGCTAAACAGTGTGGATGGACACATTTCTACTGTGGGCTATTGTGTTCTGAAAACCGGCACCTGTCACTGTCGGAATGACAATTTGCCACCTGGCTTCTTCGACAAAAGTCAATTAGATAATTGACTCTGGTCAAGCCGGTGATGAAGGCAGGGCCACACACAGCTCAAATTTCTACCAAATCAGCAGGACTTGCCCAAAATTCTAGCAGTGTATGGGCAGCTTAAGCAAAAACTAGAAGCAGCTCAGACAAGGTCAGTTCATGGTCACCGTTGGAGGTGGTACTTCGTCCCATGGCTACAGAACATAACAAAAAGGCTTAGACTTTGGTCGTACCAAGCAGTTGATTTTGTTAAGGCCACATATGTTAAGTCAGCTCACAGGTGCCATCATTTCCATGGACAGGTGAAAAGTTAAGAAGTCCCATAAAAATAAGTTTATATTAATGGTTATATTGAATTTTCTTTTATATCTCTATAGAAGTGGGCGTTAGTTTACATATATTTTTATGCCCCATCATATGCAACTCCCAAATATTTTCAATATCTGCATTTTCGAGGGGGAGAAGATCGACATAAGAGCTTGTGGTTAGAAAGGGTAGATCAATAATCTGGGCCAATAAACCCAAAGGGTTCCCAAAAAGTAAAATTCATTAAATAAGCCTGATCCAGGGAACTTGCCTAGCTTGATATCAATAATATTATTTTGCTCCAGAGTGAGTTCCCTGGGTCAGCAAGGTAAAATGCATGTTGTCTGTGCTTACAGAAAGCCATTACACTCATTTTCCAAATGCCTTAGTGGTGCCACAGCCAACATGAAAAAGAAAGGGCATGCCACAAAATATGGGAAATGTATTGATACAAACTTAAATATGGGAAATGCATTATTACAAACTTGTGGACTCCCAATACATGCACACTGAGTACAGTAGAGCAGTTCTGAAAGAAATAGCATGTCAAATCCAATATTACGTATCGATTTCCAAAGATGGATGTATTCCACCATATTGAATGCTTTTCAGACAAAGAGAACACCATCCTGGATCCTTGTGTGTTGTAAGTTTGTAAACAGCCCTCAATTATTAATAAATCTGGCTCTACATAATATGAACCCCATCTGGTTCACAGCTTGCAGCACTGTAAAAAACACACATTGTATCAATCTACTAAAATTCATGCCATCATAGATCCATTTTGCTTAGTTCAGCCAGATCTTCCTTCTAGTGCCAAAAAAACAAATGATTGTATACGTCGGATTAATGTTAAAATCATACAAAAAAACTTTCCTTGTAGCATAAAATATTTTATTTGTGAAGTTGAATGTATAAATATTCACTATAAAATTCTCACATACAGCCAACTTCTGTTTGCTTGCCATTTGGTCAGAACACTGAAAGTACGCACAACTGTTTCCTTAAATATGTAACCTTTCATGTTGTAAATAATTGTTTAAAATTCAAAAGCAACTTAGTATGGAAAATAATTTAATTCAAAGCTTTAGTGATAAATGTTACTCTGGATTTCTGTAAAGTGAACCTCAACTGGAAAAATTTGAAACCCGTTCTGCTGCCAAAATTTAAAATCACTTTAACACCAGAACCATTCATGTGTTCTGATATGCTGTGCTCCTCTGGAGATTGCAAGCTGGTCAACCCCATGCACAGCTGCATCGGCTCACAATAGAGTTGGGAGAAGAAAAACTTGCTGTCACACAAGAACTGGGAGAGAAAAATTCACTAAAACATGCTATTTGCACTGTTTTGGATGTGGATTGCTCTGCCCTGTGCTAGTATGAAAGGGAGCAACCAATCCACTAGGGGGATAAAAATGGGCGCTGCCATTGCTTACTTGTTTTTGAAGGTGCATGCTCCATGATGCCATTGACAACTTTCTCAGCAGGTTGACTGCCCTGGAGCTGCAGCTTCAAAACAATTTAGTAACGAGCAGCTGAAATGAGCAAGGCATCCTGGGAAATGTCCTTTAAAGTAGTATTAAACTCTCAATTTGTTTATCCAATAATGAATCCAGATCCAGCAAATATACATTATCCAGCACAATATTTCGGAAACAAATTGCCCAAGCACTCATTCATGATGTTTCCAAACAACTGCACCAACTCTCTCAGCTCTGCTTCTCAGAACTTACTGTCAAGTACAAGATCACAAGGGACAGCAGAGTCTCCATGTGATACCATGTGTATGTGTAAAAAAAGGAGCAATAAAGTGGACCTCTGGTGTGCTGGGGATCTCTTCTATATGTGTTTGTGAAGGCATGCACAGCTTACTAGCACACATAGGTGGATACATAGACCCTACAAGGGAAAAGAGCCAGCCTAAAATAGAATATCAGGACCAGTGCTCAAGAGACCAACTGATTCTGCAGGAAACTAAAACTTTGAAATATCAAGGAGCAGCATCTATTGAAAGCAATTTAAATCAGCATTTGAAATAGCATAACAACCTTTTGACTTTAAAGTTATAAAAACTATGCATGCCTCTAGTGTTTAGACAATGTGCTTAACCTGGATTTTAGCCTTAAGAAGGAAAAAAAACTGAATGTTGCCATGCACATTGCTCAACACGGAAACGGTTTGTAAAAAAAACACGAGTGTGTGTAGGTATTAAAAACACACACGCCAACGACAAGTTACAAACTGCTGGTTTTCTTCATCATCCTCCTGTTTCATTATGTGATTTTTCAATTAGCCGCAGTGATTTAGAGACATGGTTTCTATTGGAGATAATTTTCCACAGTGTGATGCTTGGAAAGGACAAAGTTCACAGACAACCATAAAAATACTTTGGATTACAAAACCATAACGGGAGACTTCAAACAACTAAAGTAAAATGGTTTGTTTTAATACCCATGGAACCTCTACATGAGTTTAGGCGACAAGCCAATTTTCATTAGGGGTAACACAAAAACCACATCACATTTGGGTAATTACAGGGTATGACGCGATATTAATCATCTAGCTAGTACGATCTTTACAATACGAAGATATTTTAGAACATGCCCTTTTAGACAGTTAATAAAAAATGTGTCCCATATCTTCTTTCTGTAAAGGCAGAAGTCTAAGAATGAGTAAAATCCATTAGAACAAAGAAAAATACAGAGGCCAATGTCCATTAGGAGACCCATCATCCTCCTCAGTCTTCAAACCACTTGCTTCTTTTAACGGGAGCAGATGCATTAGGCTTCCCAAGGATCTTACGCTTATATTGTTCCACCAGCTGATTGAATCGAGTTTCTGCTTGGCTTCGTCCGCGCTGCTGCTTCTTAGAAGGGGCCTGCTGTTTCTGAGAAGGTGCCTGCAAAAGAACCCAGACATTAGCATTACTGGGATAAAAAGAACCATTGAGTTGGCATTATCTTCCAAACCCTAGACTGTTTTGTTTTTTTTCTTTTCAAAACAGATAAAATTCATCATATCCATCAAAGTAATTAAATGCAAAGCACTGCGAAAAATAATGTGAACAGATTTTATATTCCTTATGAAACAGGAGTTTGTGCACTATGCTTGTGCACTATGCTTTTTCATAATACAGTACATGGGTCAGTTTGCAAAGTGTTTTAAATCATAATAACCATATCTTATTTTATTTTTTAAAGCCAGAGCCCTAGAACATATAGTCCAGGGGTGGGCAAACTCTAGCCCTCCGGCTGTGGTGCAACTACAGATCCCATAAAGCATTGCAAGACTAACAAACAGGCATGAATGAGATTTGTAGTTTCACTACAGCTGAAAGGTCAGAGTTTGCCTACCTTTGATATAGTTTATTATGGGCACTACACTATGCTCCTCGTGCAGTTTTATTGAGAAAACCTGCAAGCATATAAAAAGTTAATTTAAGAAGCGTCTATGTAATGGTCATAGCTTTTTCTGCAGAACCTCCTTGGTTAAGAACATACCCGCATTTCAGTTGCTTTTAACCTTTGCTGATTCCGGCTTTGCTGGTGAGGTTTTGGCTTCTTTGACAACAGCTGAAGTTTACCCTTGTCACGTGCTCTGAAAAGAGAGAGAAAAAAAAAATACCCTCTTAAAGTGTTTTAAAAGAACATGGCTCCAAGACCAATCAAGAATATAGAAGAGATATAAAAAATACATTCATCTGGTATAACTAACCATTCCATCTATTTTTAAGAGCTTACTTATCTCCTTAAAGGCCAAAAGCAGCAAACTTCAACTGACCAAACAGCAGCTGAAGGGCTGTTAGAATACAGAGAGGAGGATTCAACTTCAAAAAAATGAAACAGGAATGGAAATGTATATCCAGATAAGCTGGTCTTTACAGCATTAAATGCTTTCTCCAGAAACACAGACATAAAACACCATCGTAAAGGGGCGTTCTTACCTTATTTTAGGTCCTGTATGGGATGGCATGTGTAAAACCTTTCTCCTTTTCTTTCCATCTTCAAGCTCTTGTTGTTCAAGTTCCTCTTTCGTTTGGAATCCGGACCAAGTAACAGGTCGTGACGGCTGTTCATTCTCTTCCAGTGTTTTTCCTGCCAAGTCTTTGCTGTCATCAGCCAGTTTTCTTTTGATGTTTTTTTGTGTAGTGGAGTCAGTTGGCTGTGCTTTATTGGCAGTTGCCTCCCCAGATGAAGTCTCTGCACTTTTTCCAGCTTTTACCTTCTGTTTCAGCTCTGCCTTCCCTCCAGCGGCAGCTGGTGATTTTTCACCACTCTTTTGCTTTTTCTTCTTTGAGTTACCCTGAGCTGGCTGTGCCTGAGGGATGCCCGCAGCTTGTGCCTTTGCCTGCTTCTGTCTCAATACCTCCTGCATACACAAAATACCACTATTAAGAATATGAATACATTACAGTTACAAACAGCTGCATTCTTGAAGACTTGTTTGTTCCTAAATTGCATTCAATACACTTCAGTTTTAGATATACGATTAAGATAGCTGCGAATCTAAACGGGCAGTTAGGTCTGCAGACCCGATTTAATCGCCCTCAGGCATGACTCCCAGTTGTCTTACACATAAAAATAAATGTCCATTGAAGTATTCCCGTTTAATCCCACGGAGAAGGTAGGCGTGAGCAGACAACTACCAGTGCGGCTTATCTTGGGAGGAAAAATAACAATCGAACAAGATTTTCAACTGTTTCGGATTGATCTCCATGACGTTTGAGAGTGGTTGACCGGAGGGCAACAGCAGCTTTAAGAGACAAAAGATCAAACACCTATGGCCACCTTTAAAGACATCATTGCCAGACCATTGTTTCAGTTCTTGAAAGTATGATGCAGATAGGGTTAACATTAATGTGTAACAACAAAACTGTTTGGGAGCTTTTGGTTACTTAGATCAGTATCTGTTAGTATTTCAAAGTCAATCTGTTAATTCACATTAAAGTGACACTAAACTCAGGAATTATGCGTGTATCACTCACCTGTAGATCCTCAAATCATCTCTGAATTCATGCTGACACTGTCCTTCCTTCTGGAGGGTGGCTACTTTTATTCCCCATGGTCCCTGTGTGTGTTGTAAAGTAGCCATCACTCCAAGCTTGCTCCAGTGGTAGACTACAATGTCACGTGTAGTTAGCTAACATGTATTGAAACTATAGTCTAACATACTACAAATAAGGTAAAGTATTGTTAATAGTTAAAAGATACTTGAAATGCATTTTTAAGGTTTAAGCCCGAGTTTAGTGTCACTTCAAAACATATAATAGGTGAAACTTTTGCACAAAATCGGTTAAGTTTCTCACCAGACTACGTTGAGCCCTCCTTTCCTTTAGCTTGATTTTATTCAGGTCCTCGAGGGAGAATTCCACGATTGGTCTCTGGAAATTAAAAATACACACACTAACAAACTGCTCAGGTACTGTGTAACATCCAGAAACTGCAGTCTTCTAAACTGGCAGATTAGCAAAACATAAAATGTGTTGATCAAATACATCTTATACAGTTTGTTAAACTGCATGCCAAGTCAAACTTTATGTCTAGTTTTGGATAGATTGGGAAAGTGTTAGAACTTCAGTCTATTACTGCTATCCAGGGATAGAGAGACTTTCCTCACCTCCTGTGCTGCTGACAATGATTTAACCAGACAGGAAGGGAGGGAAAATCTGCAACAGGGACAGAGACAGGAAAAAAAAATAAACAAAATTTGAAAGGGGTTCTGGCATTGCCCTGCTCTACTAAAGAATGTCTCATACTACCCCAAAGATGTATGGCATTAAAAAGGAGTCTATGACTGCATGTAAATCTAATCTGTGCCAATTTAACCACCTATAGTGAGAATGGAGCAAATTCAACAGGATTATTCACTAAAGAGGTTGGAGAAGTGAACAATCTAGGACAATACTGGAAAGCTTCCAAATCAGCTATGTTGTCCTAGATTGCTCACTTCTCCTGCCTTCTCCAAACTCTTCAACCTTTAGTGAATAATCCGGTAATTGTTCTTAAGCTTATTTTCTATTCTGGTGAAATGTTTTACAATTATGGGAAGTAGTGAATTGGGAAAAAATCATTATGGCCACTAGATGGAGGCCATGGCCACTACATCTTTACTAAGAAGAGATGCAATGTAACAATTATACTGAACATTGGAGGGCATTAGCATACAAATGTAACCATTGCTACTATAGGGATCTCATAGTAGCAGTGGTTACATTTATGTGCTAATCCCCTCCTCAGCTCCATGTAGTGGCCATACTGCTGTATTTTCTCAATTCACTACTGCCCATAATAGTTAAACATTCCACCAGAAGAGTAAATAGCTTTAAAGTACAACTCCAGGTAAACATTTCTTAACCCTTGCAGTGTGGCTACCCTCGCAATACAAGGGTTAAGTGCTCGTCTTACCTATATAAAAAATGAAAGTGACATTAAACCCTCAGATTTTTTTAACATAAAACAATACTGTAATGCGTGCCTTAGTGTAATCCATGGTTGTTTCCCTTCTCTTTGCTGCTCTTCCTTTTAAATCTGTATCTGTTCTAATGCTCTGCAGAACTTCTGTTTTGCAGCAGACTGCCTTGTCTCAGGAATAGATACACGGTGTCTGTGTATAGGTTTGTATAGACTTGTAATCTGAGCCAGCACTACAGGAAGAGGCCCTGAGCTGAAAAGGGAAGTTCTCCCCAAGGATGAGAAGACATGAGGATTCAAAAAGGAAGAGCAGCAAAGAGAAGGGAAACAAACATGGATTACAGTAAGGCACACATTACAGTATTGGTTTATGTTAAAAAATCTGAGGGATTAATGTCACTTTAAGTTATACTCACCCGAACCTGGCCGGCTAAGACAGCGCTCCCTCCTACCGGTCACCATCTATGCTGCAGTGATGTTATGTCTCTCCGCATCCTCACGTCCCTTCATGTTCTATACACAGCATATATAACATAATGATTCACAGGACCTTTGACCGCTGCAGCCGAGGGGGAAGAAAGGCTCCAGGGACCAGTCTAAGAGCAAGCCGGCTCAGGTGATCATCTGTGTACAACTTTTTTTTTGTTAACCTAGACGAAAACGAACACCCCTTGCGGTGTGGGGTAATCCCACTGCAAGGGTTAAGAAAATTATCACCTGGAGTTCTGCTTTAAGAACATTTTTTATTTTGCCCCATTCTCACTACTGCTGATGAATTTGCACAGAACGAATGTAAATACAATTTTAGACAAATTCAAAACTTTTATACTTGTAGATAAAAAATAAGCCATTTTATAAATAGATCTGCTAATAACAGAAAAAAATAAATAAAGGTGCGACTGAATTCTTACCTTTTTCGGTCCAAAGATTTCGGGATTATTGTTGACCTGCCTCAGAGCTGCTAAGGCATGTTCATGTTCACTGAACTCCACAAAGGCGAAACCTAGAGACTGCCCCTTGTGGTTTCCAGCCAAACCTTTCATATCTCGCATAACACGACACTAACAGTAAAAAAGATTTTTAAAAATATTAATTACAATTTGAAATAACATTACTAGGCACAAGGAAACTAACATGTAAGGAAAGGTTCCCATTAATGCATTTCTAAAAATTCATGCTTGATATATTTTTTTGGTGACATTAACCAGCAAGTACATTTTCTGTATGGACAATGGTACATTAGTAAAATTCATAAAAATTAACTACAACAAAATACAGAATTGCTTATGAGCCTTAAAGAGACCCATGAACTGTTTTGTATCCAATACGAACAGTTCTTTTGCAGTTTCTACATTGTTTTCCACAGTCCGTGCTGTTCAGTGACAGAGAAAAAGCACAATTGTATTCACTGCCTACGATCTCAGTGTGTGCCATGTTAAAAAACAATAATGGATGTCAATATTGGATGTTTAAGAGACACACAGCTGAACCTGCGCTGCATAGCAAAGGCAAATACAATGGTAACTAGGTGAAGTTTCAGTTATGGGCAAAGAGAGAGAAGAAAAAAAAAAAAAAAAAAAAAAAGGTTTTACGCATTTGTCTAAAGTGTCATAAACAGTTCAATAACCACACACAAGGCTTCCACTTTTAAAAGATCTCCCGGGGTAACCAGGCTATTTCTGATATTCCAAGAGGGCCATTAGGCACACAGGGAGATTTGTTTTCAGCTTAACTGATCCTTAACTCTGTCAAGACTGAAGGAGAAAAGTATCAAACATTCCAGATATCTTAAAATAAACCTCGACCTGTCCAAAAATAGCAAGAGACAAAGCCATGCCAAGTCTCCTACTCTTTCAGAGTTTAAGGACCATGGTATAAAACTGAACAGCCAGCCGGTTTTGACAGTGAAAGAAAGGCCACACTGTCTATCATTTGGGGTGGATGTTGGGGTACCAATCAAAACAATCATAAGCCTGCCCCATGCTCTTTGGCCTTTTGGAGGGCTCCGGCAGAATTAGCTCCCTCCTTGGGTTGGGAAAATAGTATTTTGTGAGCCTTCAAATATTTGGTGTAACAATAAGTTTAAACCTGGTACAATTTGCTTACCTCTTTAATTTTAACAAAACGACCTCCACCTGCAGCAGACAGAAAAAACTCGCGTAACTTTTTGTCATCCACAGATTTGGGAATGTTGTGAACACACAGACGGGTCTTTGAGACAAAAATGTTCTGGCTCTTCAACTTCTGGCGTTTTATCTCTTCAAACTGGAAATTAATTAAGGGTTACCCATCAGTACTGTATGAAGTATAAAACATACCTCAACAGATTATAATGTCACTTTAAAAGTAAAAATAAAAAAAAGTCAGACTGCGGATGGCAACAAATGTTCTGTAAATAAATCTGCATAGTAACTATCTACATAGTTAGTGTGTTACTGTTGCTTACCCGAGTTCTTTTAGCTAGATCTTCTGCACTCAATCCGTCAGCAGCTTTTGTTCCTGCCCGAATCACTGTTAATAGAGTTTATTTTAATATTACATATGTAAAAAGCCATTCAGGTCAATCCAAGGCCAATAGGAAATAAATGAAAGATGTATGTGAAGACATGCTACAGGCCAGGGAGGTGGGCAGGCGAGGCTCTGGCTCTTAGCCACATACAGACAGGAAGAGCCAGCTTCAGTTAGGCAGCCGGGGTGAATCTCAACAATATTGTTGGGATGTTTCTCCACTGCGTCATGTTGCATTAGACTGCTACTGGCTGACGGCCGACTTTGGGTCACCGGAGTAAATTAGTAAATATACTCCTGTGACCTAAAAGAACTAAATTTTGATAAAATGAAAAAAAACAGGTGAAGCTTTCCTTGAAATAGGTCAACTTCTGATTTTGCAGGCCACTTGCCTGGCACCCTTGTAAATTGTGAGTTTGTGGCCACTACACTGTCTGGCCAAAAAAGGTCACACTCTAATATTTAGTTGGTCCGCCTTAAACTATGATTATGGCATGCGTTCGGCGTGGCATTGTTTCAATTAGCTTATGCAATGTCACAATATTTCGGTCCAGAGTTACATACATTTTTTTTTTGTAGTCAGACCCCTGCATAAAGTCTTCTGCAGCACATCCCGAAGATTCTCAACTGGGCTAAAGCGGACCTTTACCCTCTGACTAAAAATCAGATCAGCATACAGCTCTGCATGCTGATATGAAATCCTCTTACATTAGCTAAACAATTTTAATTTTATTTACAATTTCTTTTTTTCCCCCACTTCCAAATGATGCAATTGTGCCCAAGCATTGCATCCTGGGAAGGTTACATCAGCAGAGCATTGCAGGGAAACCTCATTTGTAATCATACAAGATCTCAGGGAAAGGCATTTTACTCCCCTAAGATGACGTGCATGGTCACATGTCCTAGTCACATGTGCCAGAGTTCCAGGAAGTAAATGGAGATCTAGTAACCTGCCCTTTGTTAAAATTGCCACTGTCAGAAGACTGAAGAAAAGAAAAATAATGTATGCAAAAAATAAAAAGCCGGCAATTATCTAGAAGTATCTGTTTGTAGATTGTCATTACTAAACATTCCTAAAAAGGTGTCTTTGTTGTTATTTTGAAGATATGGGTAAAGTTCCTCTTTAAAGTCTGGATTCAATGGTGGCCAATCCACGTGTGAAAATAATGTCTCACGTTCCCTGAACCACTCTTCCACAATTTGAACCCAATGAGTCCTGGCATTGTCATCTTGGAATATGTCCGTGCCATCAGGGGGAGAAAAAAAAAATCCATTGATGGAAAAACCTGGTCATTTAGTATATTCAGGGGGGCAACTGACCTCATTTTTTGGGGACATAACGGTGCTGAACCTAGACTAATTATCAAGTGGAAGTCTCACAAAGTTAGTCACCTACCCCCCAGAGGTCCGGCAGCCACACAGAAGAACAAACATGTAAAACTTCAACATGGTCTAAAATTGTGCCTCTATATAGATCCTTGGTTCGGCCACATCTGGGAGTACGCGGTCCAGTTTTGGTCAACTATGGTTCATTAGAAATAGGTGAGTCGGCTAAATGTCTGAGTTACCCTGTTTCCCCGAAAATAAGACCTACCCCGAAAGTAAGACCTAGCACTATTTCTCAAGATTCCTGTAATATAAGACATGCCCCAAAAATAAGACCTAGTTTGGTGGTAGCATGTGAGGGGGAACTTGCAGGAGAGTTGGTATCAGCCTGCAGGGACATACTGTATCAGGGGATGACAGGGGACTCCCTCCGGCCTGTGCAGTGACAGGGAGCACTCCGGTACCATACTTCACCAACTGCTGTCCCCCGAAGGCACTGCTTAATGTAATGGTACCGTACTGTAATGTGTACCGGTAAATGGTACCATATTCTACCTCGCTGTCCACTGTCTGATGTCCGCACTGCTGGCACCGCTGTCCGGTACTGTGACAGGCGGAGTGATACCAGATAACTTACTTTGGATTGTTGTACATTTTGTTGCACATTAAAAAACAAAAACAAAAAAGACATCCCCTGAAAATAAGACCTAGTGTGTTTTTGTGGGGCAAAAAAAATATAAGACAGTGTCTTATTTTCAGGGAAACACGGTATGTACAGTATTGTGAACATGGCATGTAGTTTTACACGTTCTTTCATGAAAAGCAGCCTAAAAATAGCTGAAGTTTAAATCTGATTATATTTTGCCTTCCCTGGTTCATGCAAATTACTTTTTTAAATAAAAATGGTTTTCATATTATGGCTTATTTTAGACCCAGTGAGATCATCACTGGGTCTCTCTGCTTCTCTAGGAAATGCAGTCAGGTCATGGTTGGTGGTAGAGGCTAGCAGGTGCTGTATGTAGCTTTCTGAAAACATCACAGCACCTTGCCTCGGGGTACTCTTCTCAAGAACCCTCAACCCAGATGCCACAAGCAGGCTGCCTCCTGGAGGGAGTTATCCAAATATCAAAATGCCCTCATAGGCGGATGTTTGTGTGGAGCAGTGGGCATTCTTAAGGCAGATTGTAAAAGCAAAAACTTAAATTTAATGAATGAAAAAGGTGGGCCAATGAGTCTGGGAAGGAAACAGTTACAGTTAGAGCCTGCTGGAGGACATCCAGCATCATCTATCTGACTTGCTGCAGCTTCTAATGTACACTATGAGAAGCTCAAAGTGTGCAGTGAAATCAGAGCAAGCAATTTCAGTACAGGAGAGGAGCCTGTACAACTGTGCAAGATTGGAAGTAAGGCTGGAGCTCAGGTTTAGACATATACTTGTCGGAATGTGCTAAAGGGCTGTCTGAAGTGTGCAAACCAAATTCATATGCATGGACAGGATACTCACATCCCTCTCTTGCCAAATACAGATTTCTTGTCCCTGTGGGTTTCTTTACTTTCTCTTTACGTAGTTTCCCAGCTTCCTCCCTGCTCACAGCAAGATCCACCATCAGTTTCCTCCCAGTAAGGTGCAACCCTCCATCCTGAACAAGAATATAAAGTAAACAACAGTTACTATAAACTAGCAGCAAAAATGGCAAAGAACTGTTTGTAAGCAGTTTCCTATATTATCATTTATTAGGGGCCTGTTGATATTTTCGAGCAGAAGGGGACTGACCTTTTTCAGTCACCTTCTGCTGGTGTTTCGAAGGAGTTTTTTTAGTTAACACAATTATCTACAGTATATTTTGTGTAGTTTGCATAGCGTGTCAGATTTAAATTGCTACTGTGTTTAAGCAAAGTTGCTATACCTCAGATTCATCCTTGGCAGCATCTAGGCATTTCTCGGCAGCTTTTTTATCCACAAACTGGACGAACGCACAACCTTTAAATAAACGGGCATTAAAAAGGTTTAAAACATGAATAAGGTTTGAGGTCATACATTTCAAAAAGCTTTACTGCTGTATTTCGGTCTATAACATTGTAGCGCTCACCCCCGAAGGGAGCCGATGAATGCCCGCTTCATCTCTAGTCTGTCTAGGGTATGTTGTTCAGCTGCCCACCCAATAGCACTAACAGCCCTTCTTCTGGTGCCCACAGACTGATGTCCACTCCAGTAGTAAAATGCTGAATAACCTTTTAGTGAACATCTTCACTGGGGAGAGAGGGTATAGGGATTCTAAGCTTCCAAAAGGTAACCGTCAAGAGCTCCAGGCTCACCAGACCTGGTTGGCATATTAGTGTAGATCCACTTGGGAGGCAGCGGACAGCAACTGATGTAGCAGATAAGTAGGATGGATAAAGATCCTCAAGCAGGAAAGACACCGACCATGCTCCTGAAGTCCTCTTAGTTCCAGGACACTTCAAGAGCCAGCATTGGTACCAGTTCTCTTCCTCTAACCACAGCATCACAGGCCTGCTCCATGTTGAAGGCCTCAGGACTGCGTGCTTTTCAGCCTGCCCCCCCCCCCCCCTAGCCTGAGGGGGGCAGGCTGAACAGCAGCCTGTCCTATTCCATGGCTAGGCCCAGTAAGTCTAAGCACATGGCAAATACCACCGGTATATGTACCCTATCCCAGCATGCACCACTGGCTGAGAGAGAAACTCAGTGATCGGCTGCTGTACTGTACATACACTACAGTGCCTCTCACTGGCTGTCCCACAATATGACAGAGTCACACTCCGCCCAGGGGGGTACAGGCAATGCTAGACACCTGGAATTAACCAGATAATTGTCACTATAAATCCAGCCAAGCTGACTGCAGCCCTGGCTATCACTAAATGTCTAGTAGCCACATCACAGAAGGTGATGGGGCTACAATATTATTGGCTGATAGAGTGAAACCTATGTATAAAGACATTAGAAAGTAAGGACCAACTGTTGTGACTGACACACTAGCCTGCATCCACTGAGGTTTCACCAACCTTAGAATGCTGCGAAGCACCATGTAAAATCTGATTGACTTCTTTAGAAACAAGGCCCTGTTGCTGCAAATGCTGATGGAAAACGTAGTGTGCATATTCAATTTTATCACAAAGCAGGGATGTAGAATGGCCACTAAAATCCTCCCCAAACCTGGCATTTTTACACCCATGGATAGCCAAGAAGATGGGATTTTTTTCTTTTTTTTTACATGGTAGATACCATAAAAAAATTAAACAAAAAAAAAAATAACACTTATTTGGGAAACCAGGAATTTCACTTAACATTCTGATAGGGAATTATTACGGTATGATACAGAACAACTATGGTATTCAAGCCATGTTAAAATCCTTTTTTTCCCAACACCGGGTTAAGAAACAGCTACACTTAAATATACTGTACAAGCTAGTAAAGATTATTCCCAGGGGGGTGAAGCTTAACATACTCCCTGAACCATTGCACTGGAAATAGCATATGGCACATGTCTCAAGGAACGGCTGCTTCCATCAGTACTTACTGTGAATGCATTAAAAAAAAAAAGTGTGCCAACCTTTGGAGTGCTCTGTGTCAGGATGAACCACAATGCGGACATATTTTATATTTCCAAATCTCAGTAGCAATTCCTCCAGGTCTTCCTCCTCAGAGTTAAAAGACAGGTTCCTGAAGGTCAGAAAGGTATCAAATATTAAGAATTCACAAGACATTTCAGTGTCTGAAAGTCAAAAAGATTGCTGTGCTCCACAAATATTTCATAACATTTCAAAGTACTAGGTCTCAATGGGCAATCACCTTCTCTGCTCGTGCTTCCTAACAGGGTCAATATTTTAAAGTGGTACTAAACACTAGGCATTTTTACTTTAATTAATTCTGTGTTTTAAGGTAAAAAAACACCCTGTACCTTTCTGTATCCCCCTGTCCCTTTCCAGTGAACACTTGTCACCGCTGCTGAGTCCGTGAAGCTATCCTCCGTTCCTCGAACTTCCTTGTTGGAGAGGATACTGAGGGCAGAGGAGCCATAGTCTCCTTCTGCCATCAGTCAATCTGTTGGGAAGAGAGGAGGGGCGTAGCCTATTGCATGCTGTGTGTGTCTATGGACACAGCCAGGAACGCACACGCACGGGTGCCTGCCTCCGCAGCCGGCTAGCTGACGAAGGGACACAAGCACACAGTGGGAGGGGGTGGATAGAATGGTTCGGGGACCAACAAGAAAACACAAAAATTTTAAGCAAGAACAGAGGATTTACATCAGTGTGCGCCTCCCATTCATGAAAAAAAAAAAAAAACTGAAGGTTTAATATCACTATATCCATCACCAATCCTAGCCTCCCACTTCCTTAAATTTATCAAAACAATCACCCTTAGAACCTCTTTGCTTCTGGAATCCCAGCTAGCCCATATCACAGCCTGAGATAACGCACTATAAGGATCTTCTCTGCTCACCATGTTGGTGTATCAGTTTCCTCATACATGCCAAACTACTGTGTGTAAAATTGAACCTACTGCCAATTTTCAGATGTTTGTTAGAAAAAAAAAAAAAAAATCTATATGCTGTTTTGACCAGCAAAAGAAGTAATCACAAGAATCCCCAATCCTATATAACAAGGCTTAAAGGGAATTTGTCAATCAGAAATGTCTTCCTTCCGTGCAGGATAGGAAACTCAGCTGTGTCAACCTGACAAATTTCCTTTAAAATCATCAGATTAATAAGGTAACCAAGTTTTAAAAAAATGGTTCCAGGATTAGCTGTTAGAGAAGCTGACCTGATAAACAATGTCCTTCCTTGACCAACATCACATGGCAATTTCCTTTTCTTCTCACTCTTATCTGTAAAGCAACAGGATGTTACATTTGGCACATTCAATGACGCAGGCTTATCATCAAATCTAAGTGTACAACATTAATAATGTGTGTACCTTTTTTCTTACTCTCAGAATCAGAGTCCTCTGACAGATCATCTTCCATGTCACTCTCCTGCCCAGAATCAGCAGATTTGTCATCTGCCTCTTCATCATCTGCCTCTTCTTCATCTTCATCATCATCATCACTATCCTCCTCGTCCTCCCTGTCATTCCTCTTGTTTTTGGTGTGAGTTTTTTTAACAGATCTAACAGGTAAAATATGTATTACAATAAACCCACAAATCAGATTTATTGGAGGGGAAAAAAACATCAAACAGGAATGGAATGCGTATATAATATTCTAGATATACACTAAAAAAAATGATATGGAGTGCCACAGACTAAAAGCACACAGTAAAAGACATGCAAACACATCCACATTTTCATACCCCTATATGCTACACCTAGAAACCTCTCCTATCCTCACTAAGAGCACCTCCTCTGCACTAAAACACACTGGGCCAGGTATACGATAGTAGTAGGCGCACGGGAAACTTGCATTTTTGGAACGCAGCAAACAGTTCAATTAGTAGGGATTGACATAAGTGATGAAACTAGTGCTGCATTTGTAAATAATATATATATATA